GACGCAGGCTAACGAAGAAAAACAAAACCAACATTGGGACCCTATCCTGAAGGATTCCCGATAAAGTTCAGTTCCAGGATGGACACGGTCTGGTACATGAGGGGGATTGTTTTCAGTCCGTGCAAGCCGGGCTTACCACTATGGCGACAACATAGTTCTTCGCAAAAACAACAAAAGTGTTGATGACCTAATCAATATTGAGGACTCAATTCAAACTAAAGCCAGTTTTGCGACTTAAGTTACAACTATGAAATCGCCGTCAGTGACCAAGAAACTTGAATCAAATGACTACTTGTTGCAAGAACGTAGCCAAGAACCTAAGTAATAGGTTTTGACGAGTGTTGTAATCGTATTTTCCTCAATACACACGGCATCCACGCCCAAAGGTTTTTAAATACAAGTAATAATCAAGCAGGGTGTTGACTGATATTGCCCGGTGAGCCTTTCTTTGAATATTATGTCTAGGTCTTTATTACACATTTTAGGTGAAGCAGAATCTTGACTGCTTGCGCCTGGATTGCGCAAACTGAGATTAGAACATTATCTTTTGCGATGAAACTATTTTCAAGATAAATGCTTTTCGCATTTGGAGAAGAGAAACTTGTCGTGCTGTTGATAAAATACACATGTATTTATAATAATTAAGAGAATCATATGTTTTATGGTCTGAATTAGCAATTGGAATCTATTCTGAATGAGAAAATATGTTTCTATTACCGCCTATGGAAAGGTATATAAATGCGTGATTACTGGTACTTTTGTTGCAAGAATTAGATGATTTCGGCGCTGACCAAATATGATTTCAACGAGAGATGGTATAACATATCATACATTTCATCAATCAATCACAATCAATTTATTAAGGTGGAAATTGAAGATATTTAAATCACACGAGTCATCAGATCACGAACGATAGATTTTATTTAGCATCATTATACGTCTCTCTCTTTCAACAATAATATAGTCCATATTTCTTCTCCATAGAATGTCGTCGGACTCACTATTGTAGTTTGATATATTTTCAGATTTTCTCTAATTCATTACGAGCAAAATATAATATATTGTTTGTGACGTGAGTTCTCGTAAGCAAGCTTCTTGTAATTTTTTATGAGCATATAGTGCATAAATCTATATCTATCTTATATATATAATTCTTCTGTACGTGTGTTGACAGTGAACTCCTCCTAAACGGCTGAACCGATTTTGATGAAATTTTTTGTGTGTGTTCAAGTGGATTCAAGGAAGGTTTAGATTCACAATTTGGCCCACTGGATAATGTCTTTTTAATCAATTTTTTATTTTTTGGTATCCATATACATTTATATTAAAAATTTAAAATTTATTCATGCTTACTTTGATTTGTTTAAAAACTTTAAAATCTCTAAAATGAATTGTAAAACTGACGTTGCATAGCTTAAGTGCATTTAAATTCCGCTGCATAATTATAGGTGAGCCAATTTTTAATCTTAAGTTATGTGGTGGTATTCCTGGTAAATCCAGCGAATTCAAAAATTCAACACAGAAAAGAGAAGAATTATATATATAAAGATATAAATATCGTACAAAAAACAATGCCACGTCTTCGTGGACGAGGAGGAAATATTGGTCGACGGACTCGGAATTCACAATTACTCCAGAACCGGCGGTTAAATAGATCGGCAGAAAACAATGAAGATGTAAGAAACCAGGATACAATTACACATGCTAATGAAAGTCAAGAGCAACGCAACGAACGCCAGGAAAATTAATTGCAAGGGGAAACAACGTTCGCCGGGTCAGCTAGTATAATATATATATCGTCCGTTGTAATGTAGTCGATTCTCTTATCTGCGTATATCTACTTCTTATATGCTTCTATTTTTGAGCAATGTAGGCAGTGTCATCAGCATATGCGATGGTCAGATCGAAGTGACTAATGTCGTTATCGTCGGGCAAGTCTAATGCCGTTTTAGATTGGTAAATCTGGGGCAACTTTCTACGCTACAATATCCTTCCTTTTATTTGCATTTATGTGAAGTACTCTTATAATGGCCATGGTTAGTTAGTCTCACATCTCAGTACAATACTGATGTATCATATTTATAAGTATCACATTACATTTGAGATTAAAAAATTCTTATTTAAAGTGAATGAATGTTAGGGTAAATACCCTAACAGTTTTCCAGATTATGTTAAAGTGAAGATAATTAGTGGATTTTACTTTTTTTGATTTAAGTCCGCGCAATCGTTTTCGTGCTTTATTTAACCTATTTTTGTAAAATTCGCAACGTATGGTCCTAAGAACATTAGTCAGCTCTCTTGTTATAGCATCCTCATCATGAGAAGTAGAGTTCAGTAAGTTTGTTGGGGGAATAGGTCATCATGAGTAGAGTTCAGTAAGTTTGTTGGGGGAATAGGTCATCATGAGTAGAGTTCAGTAAGTTTGTTGGGGGAATAGGTCACAAATTTTATGCAAGTCCCAGTAGAAAAGTGATAGGTTCAATAAAGGAAGTTCAAATCATAGTTACAAATACTTGTGACCATTATGTATAAAGTATAAATATAACATCTGCTTTGAAAATAATGGGAATAGTTTCCATTTTTCTTTTTCTTTTTTTTTTAAATTTCTATTATATTATTAATTTCTGTTTAGCTTGTTATATTTTGCACTGAATGTAATTTTTTATTATTGATAGCCAAATTCTTAATTATTTTAAAGATTATTCCATGAACAGCTTCAACCTTGTAGGTTAGCTCCTGTTAAATGTTCCGAAAGCCGTCCGACGTATTCTGGTACTGGAGAGTTTGGAGATTAACGACAAAATTCAACCCCATTTTGGTGTACATGGGGTAGTGCGTGTGACAATAACCAAAAAGGACACGCAAAAGGACATCTGTGGTAGAAACGTGTAGTGAATTGAATGTGTTTATGAACTACAAATAATATATATATAAATATGAAGGAGTCTTTTTTAATAAACTTCATAACAGGTTTGAAGAATATATTATTGAACTTCATAGAGATGAAGAGTGTAGACGATAATATATATCATATGACATTATTAAAAAAAATTATTAAAAATTATCTTATAAATAATAAATATTTCCGTCTGAAAAATTTGCCGTTAAATTACAACTTATATTCAGAAAATATTGGTCTCGCCCGTGCGACTAGTGGAGTAATATTAGCATGACTTTCTCAGCATTACGTTCCTATAATAGGTTCTATACATAAGAAAGAACAAATCATGCAAGAAATAATGCCTCTATAAACAGAATAGTATTGAAATTTAACAATTAAAAAAAAAATATAATTAATTAATTATTCTACAGCTGGTTTATGATTTAGTTCTAATATAAACACAGTAAGTAAAATTGTTAATAAAAACTTTCATAGCAAAAGTAACAAAACTCCAGAAAAATATGCGAACATAAAAGTCAAGTACGGCTTTGAGTCAGTTGGTTAAGGTGTGTTGACTCTGAACTTCAAATTTGGCAGGGCATGAGTTCGATTCCTGGCACTTGCAGTTTCAAAAAAAATAATTAGTTACGAATAATTAAATACAAGAATTATTTTCAAGACCAGTGATGATGGGTATTTGGCAATACTCGAAACAGCTATATAGTCAGCCAAAAATTCAATTAATTAAAATAATTAAAAAAAAATAAAATTTTTGTTGTTGTAGTTCACAATTGTTCGAAAACACCCCTATATGACATTAATAAAAAATATTATTAAAAATGATCTTAATTAAATGATATTATAATTCTAAATAATATTTAAATAAATATATATATTAAATTTTATTATTTATTACATAAGTTGCGAACAAGTTCTATCGGGCTGAACCAAAGACTTGATTTGTTTTTCGGATATGCAATTCATTGCGTTGCAAACCCTTTGACAGACTTAGATTTAGCACATTTTATTGAATGCTTTCATATTTAATAATTCTTTTGTTTTAGATTTTAAGATATAAGGGTGAGAAGAGAGAGATATATGTATTGAAAGGAATGGACATTTTTTATTTCGCTATTATTCTTATTATCATTTTTATAGCTATCCTCCTGACTGCGTATTAATAAACATAGTACACAGTATATATGTATAACTATTTTCATTGAACTAATTTAATGTAAAAATATATGAATCATTTAATAAAATAATGGATTATATACATTTTTTCGTATATTTGCTGATGCCCAACATACGTTGTTTTGCGATATATATCTGCAGTAAAAATATATCACATACATGTTTTTTCAATCATGAGGCTCCCTTTTCGCTTGATGAGTATGTTAACAATCAAAAGTACCTTACGTGAGACAGTAATAATCGATTAATCGAAAGATAATTACCCACATAATGCGATGAGACATTAAGTCCAGTGTTATAATAGACCCTTACTTTTTTGAAAATTGTACAAACCATCAATTTTGATCACTATAGCTGCACAATTCTGACTTACTTTAGCATAAAACTAAAGATATGTGGTTTTAATACGTACTATTATGGCTTTGATTTCTGAACGCGTAATTTCAGGTTTTAGTGATATGAATAGGCAATCAGGATCATGACAACTCCATTTGTCGCCAGTTGGCTTTTTTGTCGAGTCACGCAAATAAACCTGTTTAATGCCGACAATAATATCGAACATAGGAAAATAACATTTGTAGAGTTACACCCAAACTATTATGACAAGTATAATTAGACAAATCATCGATAATTACAAATCATCGACAAAAGGATTAAAACTATTAGAAGATTTCCCGGCAGGTCATGTCAATTGTGTTCGTTCCACACTTAATAGCAAGACCCACACAAAATATTGTATTGAAAAATTCTTCGAAATATTGAACAAAAATGTATTTCTTACGTTTTTTTCTGTTTTGAACTACAAAGTTGATCACCCAAGATAACAGAAAAAATTTTCTGTGGTTATGTTCCAAAACACAAGATTTGATTTTCGATCAATTGTTTAGTATAAAGTAAACTTTTTAAAATACGTAATCACACTTACCGATAACGATCAAATGCAATAAACGCGTTGGAGATGGCCGCACCCATTCCTGAGATGCCACCTAAAACGGCATAAACATCGCAAGACAATTCACCGCCTATAAAGTAACCAGCAATGGTGTTAATCAGATAATGTGGCATATTGCAACACATGACCAAATCGAATATTGCCAGATTAAAGATTAATAAATTCGACGGCGTTCTTAAGTTTTTTGAGCTATAATTAAAAATAATTTAAAAATAATTAATGATTTAAAGTAATTTTTACAAATACAACAATTAAAAAATTTTTAAAAGTCTAATTCATTTTTCATCCAATAAAATACACTGAAGTAATATCTGTTTTATAGCAATATTTTGAGATATATAAATGATATATATGCATATGCCACTAAAAACAATGTAACCTTTTTATTTCTTTATTAAGTATATATTGGGGACTCAGAGAGATAAGCTAAGAGGGACCAACACTAACACCAACCCTATATTTCTTTTAATTCAACATTGCTCTCATCTTCTTATTTCTAGAAGTCACAAGAATTGGCTCTAAGGTTTAAGTTCAAATTACTTGCATATTTAACATATAAGGATGGAATGAAATAATTTAATTATATGTAATTTAATTACAAATTCATACGAATAGGTGAATATCTGGTATATATGTTTTGTGATCAACAAACAGTTTTAAAATATTCTTCTAAGAATCAGATTAAGTATGTGCTATAAAAAATAGTTCTCATCTAGAGAATCCAGATAAGGCAGTGTTGGATTTACCAGTTAGGATTATTCTGGTTTTGTTCGTGAACAACCCTAGGTTAGATATAGAAAATATAAGAGATCTCTCAAGTGGTACAAGCGATGCTTTACAATGAATATGGGTTATTAAGACCCCTTTTGGGGTCTTTTGAATTTTGGCTGCTACTCTGCAGCTTATTTATCTAATTTTTTACTGCATAATGAATTCATTATTAATCTAACCTATATTACCATTATTATTAATAGTGCTCCTGAATGGATTAATGGAAGTTATATGACAGATATCCAAAATAAGTTGATTGTGCAATTAAAATGTGGACTTGAAAATATTAAAAAAAATTATGGAAGGAAGTAGAAAATTAGCAGTTTAGGAAACCAATTACATATTTATAAGGTTTAATATATATCAGTCTGTATATATGAATTTGTTGTTTAATATAAAAAATAAACTTACGTTCCGAAAATCCAAATGACTAGGCCATTTCCAAATAAAGATATAAACATTAATATAATATAACCTATAAAGAAAAAAGCTGTAAAGTGTATCTGCGGCGCGGGGAAATTTCGCCAATGTTGATGTACCAAATGTTGATATTCGGACGGATGATTCCAACCCAATAATGGTAGCCCTCCATCACGTAGCGAACTAACGATGAAATTCTTGTAAAAAAAACTTCTATCAACTTATAGAAAACTTGTATTACTTGTTGGCAAAATTCGTATACGCCTCTGGACCCATTGCACCTTTAGTCGAATGCATTTTACAGAAACTTTTGAAAATTTAAAATCAACTTTTTGTTTTTATAACAATTAAATTAAATTTAAATTGTATAAAAACGTTTTTTTAATTATTTCCTTCTTCCCTTTTCACATTTTTTATCAAATCCCATGCCGCTGATACGAAACGCACTCCGACAGGTCACTTTAGCTTATCATTTTCGCACGGGCACCTTTGTGGCTTTTATAGTTTCTGTAATTTCGGTATTTGAATTTATAAGTTGAATTCCATCACATTTGAAAACGTCATAATCCAAGACATTCCAAGACATTCCTATGAAGATTAGTCGTCGCAAATGGATAATCCGCTTTAATGTCTGTAGATTTTTGATTTACTTGATGGTCATGTACAAAAAATAACAAAAGTGTTTGCAATGAAGTATTCGAGGAATGTTGATTAAATGAATATGAGACGTTAGCTATTGGATTGTTATTAACCTAAGAATAAATAAAAATTTTGTAGCATGAATTTAGGCGTCGAAGCCCTATAAATATTAAGAAACCGCTAATTAAAACAGCGTGTTAGTATGCATATATGCAATTGAACCGAAAATTTGATACTTAGTTTGTCTTTGCTAGAGGTCAAGTAATTTGACTACAATCGAATATTTAATATAAATAACCTAACAAACAAACAAAAAACTCCGAGGTTTGAAAAATTTATTTTTAATTTTGTATAAGATTTTCTTGAAATAGTTGCATTGTGAATTTAAAATAATATAAACGTTTTATATACCCATCTATTCTATTCTAAGTTCTTATAGTAGAATTTGTTTTAATCTTTTTTTATTAGCATAACAGTCCTGAGTGGACCAGTGCTTTCCCAAACGTGTCCTAGCTATTTTAGTCGTTGTGATTTTATGTATCATATTACATTCTACTTGTTCTGATTGAGTTCTCTAATGTGTGGTGGTTGTAGCAAATACATTGTGTGTCATCATCTAGACGTATTGAACCAAAAATTATTCTCAGTACTTTTCGCGTCCATACTTCACAGCCATACGTTAGAACTGGTCTAATTAGGCAATTATACATAGGCAGTTTTTGTTGTCTTGATAAGATTTAAGATTTAAAAAATTTTATATCTATGTAGTGTGTCTTATTTCCTGCCTGAATTCTATCTTGATTCGCAGTTGATGTGTCTTCTTTAGAATTCAGTACCAATATAGTTCAATTGAATTTTCTGACCGCTTCAAAGCTAGTACTGTCCATATTGGTCAAAACTGGTTACTAAAGACTCTGGATTTTGATCTCAGCATGTATTTTCTTTTTTGATGATTAACTTTTAGCGTTGGGGCCAGTGTGTAATATAGTAATATCGTCGGCGTAGCCACAAAATTGGATGTCGTTTTTAAACAGGCTTTTATCAACGTCCATTTCTGATAGAACACTACTAAGCGACAGATGAAATACAGGGGAAGAGAAGAGAAAGTGCAAGAAGAGAAACCTTGTTTGACTCCTGACTTGTTGTGTTCTGGAGCGTTAGCTTTATTAAGTTGGACAGTTTTATTTAGATCCACTCTTCAATAGCGCTAGTTTAATTTCTGAATGGTATACTTTGTCAAAAGCTTGTCGGAATTCTACGAATAAGTAATTGATCTATAGTAAAACATTGATCTATAGTTGATCTATTTCGACGCAAACGGCATTGATTTTTACCCAGTACTTCTTCTGCAATAGTATTGTATCTTTAATAAAGAATATTTGTAAAAACCCTATATCCGGTATTTAGTAGCGATATTCCTCTATTGTTGTTGCAGACCATCTTATCGTCTTTTTTGTGGATGGGTATTATTGTGCTGTTTTTTCAATCCTCTGGTAGGCATTCTTCTGACCATATTAGTTGAATTCATTCATTTAATTGATTTTCGAGCTAATTTCCATCGTATTTGAGAATTCAGCTACTATATAGTCTTCGCCCCAGCTTTAGTAATTTTGAAGTTTCTTGAGAGGGTTTGAACTTCATTTAAAGGTGGTGGCGGGGTATATATTCTTTTGGGTCGGAAACATCTCCGCTACCTCCGTTAAGAAAAATCATTAAAATGTTCCTTCCATCGTTGTTTGATTCTCTGTTTATCCTTATTTATTAATCTATTCTTTGGACCATTCTGGACTGAAATACACGCGTATTTTATCATACTGATTTTATTGGTTGGCAAGTGAAAAACGATGTCTGCAAATACCCAAAAGTGATCCGAGTCACAATTGGCAACTCTTTTGTGTTAATAACATGATCTATATGATTTGCTCCTCGATCACTAGGGATTTTCCATGTTCTCTTAATTTTTGTGTGGAAATGAAACATTAGATATCCACATATTGCAGCTAATAACGCTACGTAAACTAGCGTTATTAGGAATTGAATAAAGAATGATAGAAAAATAATATATCTTATATATCCAGGAATATTGCATCAGACTGCAGTGGTGGAGACAGCTGTGATTTATTACCGTAAGTAATATTACAGAAGAAATAAAAAAAAAGGATGTTGGAAGAGTGTATGTCTACAGCCTTTTGACACTTGTAACCGAAAAAGTTATAGTAGGTAATTTTTCTTGTCTTGCGAACAAAGACTTGAACTGTCTGAAGATTTCGACAGTGTCCTTAGTAAAAATATATAAGACAAACAATATTCAATACCAATAATAGGAAGATATTTCTAAATTTTTAAAATAATGAAGTTTTTAATTATATATTATAAATGAATATTTATATACATATATTTTCCACTTTGACATATTATGTATATATGATATCATATTGATACTGTCAATATGAAGAGCATGTCCTTATATTAATGTAATATTTTAATTAATTTTTTATTAAGTTTCAATAATTTTAGCTTTATTTAAAAATTAATACGTTGAAGAATAGTATTAATTTAATTACTACAGTTGAATGTTACTAAATGTTAAATTCTGGAAAGTCTGGAAAATACTATTCATTATGCTTTTTAATAGCTTTAGTATAGTAGTTCAGCAATCCCGAGAATATACTATAAGCATGATCATAGGAATGAAAAACGATGCTTCAACAAAAATGGTATTTAAAGCAACAATAGCAGGATAAAGGAAAATACCGTCTTTCTGGTGGACTAATCAGATTGAGAAAGTATTAAATCCACTTGATGTACAAGATTAGATAAAGTATGCATACAGCAGCGGAGCTTGGGCAGGAATGTGATGTCGATATTTAGCAAATGACTGCCATGTAACACTAAGTTTATAACATAGTTTTGCAAAACCAAATTTATGGAAATATTATGCCTGAGCACTCATAGCGATGTGCTAAGCTCCTTGTATTTCACTCCCTGATTACTGATATGTGATTTCGGCCAAAAGTCTTTCACAATCTCATGACTGAGAACCTCTTAACTCTTTCCTAAGCAATGATTTTAGTAGGTTCAAGTCAAATCACAACGACTTGATAGTGACAGTGATAAAGTTATTGCCTTGAATCAAAGACGGAGAATGGAAATTCGCGAAAGTATTTGTAATACGAGTGATATTCTTAAGAGGTTACTATACATTCAAGTACAAATTTTTCAAATGAAACATCAATTTTTTTTTTACAAGGGATATGTAAGAATGTAGTCGACTGTCAAAATCATTTCAAGAATTAAATGATCACAGCAAACGGCAAAGCGATAAAGCTATATCGATGAACTTTCATTCGCAAATCAAATGAAACTACTCCAAATAGGAAATATTGAGGATTCAAATGTTTTGACAGATATTGCAAGCACGGTTGCCACTTATGGTACTTTAGTACCAAAATTGGTACTTTTTTTTTCGTTTGGTACTCATGTTCAAAAAATGGTACATTTTTGACGACCCAACTTTATTGTGGATATTTCCAATTAATATTTTTTATAAATGCAACTTTTCACTATTTTATATTTTGTTCATTTATAACACTATGAAAAATACAGAACGAAACGACCTTTTTTTACAGAAATGGTACCTTTTTAAACCAATTTTGGTACAGGAAAAAATTTTCAAGTGGCAACCGTGATTGCAAGTAATCTTAAAGATAAGGTGTAATCGGCAGCTCCAAAGTGTGGCTAAAAACAACAAATCGCTTGCTTAAAGTCGCTAATATATATGCAAAACAACAACACTACTTTCACTACCAAACGACTAGTTATGAAGTGACCAAACGTCTTAGTGACTGTAGAGAAAAGTGTTACCAAACCATAAACGATCTTTTGTGAACCTTCATGGAAAATTTCAACAAATATTTCAATTATACGTGAAAGTTTATTAATAAAAATTCAAACAAGAGTGTAAAGTTTCACAAATTTAAAAGTTATGGAAATCAATTATTTCAAATCTATACGAAAAAACTATACAACTTTGCTGTACAGTGGCAAAACTATTTAAATATTTTAACTTATTAGTTGCTAACAAGTAAATACTCATTCAGGTATAAATATTCTAAGCTATTATTCATTTTTATAGAAGAAAATTTCAAAATTGTCTGCATTTTGAACATTGCTTTAGCTGCATTATTCATTTTAATTTTGAATTTTATATTAATTATTTATTTATATACAAAAGGTAGTTAGCTTGATGGCCAGATTGCAACAGTGATGCCAATATATTACTTAGCGACTTGGTGGCTTTCGCCACACTCCTATAGAAAACACAATCGAAATGCCAAATAAAAAACAAAGCCTCATCACCATTTCAATATTATTATTCTTAATTTATATAAGTTTCATTAATATATTTTATTGCATTAATATATTATGTCATTAGTTCACTTTAAATACCTATTCAAAATAATTGATTTTGGACTTGCAAAAGATTGTAACACAAATATGATTGATATATGAAAATGACACCCTAGTTTATTTAATACATGAGCTTATATACATACATTAACACGATAATTAAAAAAGTGCTTTATGATAGCACCGCTATGCTACTTTGTTGCATTATTTTCAATATATTTTTTGAAGCACAGTATTTCACGTTTTAATTTTTCTTGCATTCGAGTATAACTATTAGAATTAAATTAGAACTTCATAAAATGGAGTTCAGACAAAATATTTTTGTTATAGTACAATAATGTATTTAAAAATATGTTATCACGAACCCTAATGAAGTTCTGTGGTTCTTTGTATTGTGAT